TTACAAAATCAAAGTCGGCAGGAGGCCATGTAATAAAAGCTGAGTTGCCGTGAACCTTAACAGACATGACGTCAGGTGTTCTGTTCTGATACTTATGGCAAGACTTATTAATAAGTACAGCATGAGTTCTTTTAAAAGGAATATTTAGAAGTACCATGGTTTTAATTATTTGTCTTATTTATCAAATCTTATCATATTAGCTCTTAGAGCGCTACAGTTCTAACGACGAATTGTATTTGCGGCAGATATTTTGTATTTCTCCTTCGCTACCCCCTCAACTTTCCCGCCCCTACTCCCGGTTTTGGACTCCACAGCAGGAAAGAGTGAGAACTGGCAGAAGGAGGGCAGTTGGTGTGAGCCAAGGTGGAGTCCTATGAAAATCAGTGTTTTCCAAGGTGCTCCATAACCCGACTTCATCTCTATTCCAAATGACTGCTCGGGAGGAGAGAGAGCCCAACTCAAACCTGACCCTACGCAGAGATCGCTTTTGTAGCTCCCCAAGGCCCCTTCAGTCTTTTGGATGATTACGAAGCTGCTCAGATTCTCCAAGGTCATGGACGGGGAGCCCAGTGCCGCGCCCCAGCGCTGCCTATGGTCTTCCCGAGGCTGCATGGGGAAACTAAACCGTCCCGGGCCCTGTGCAAAAGATGCGGGGCCCAGAAGCCAGGGGCTTTACCTCCGGGAAGTGGCCGAGAGACCGGCGTGCGGCTGCCTCCTCGCGGGACGGCGCACTGAAAGCCACAGCAAGGCCTCCGCGCAGCGGAGAGAGGGGTGGGGCGGGCAGCGCGTCGTCTCCATAGGGACCCTCAGCTCACCGCGCCCCGCCCCTCCGTCTCCACGGGGACCCTCAGCTCACCGCGCCCCGCCCCGCCGTCTCCATGGGGACCCTCAGCTCACCGCGCCCCGCCCCGCCGTCTCCACGGGGACTGCAGCGCCCCGCGCCCCGCCCCGCCGTCTCCATGGGGACCCTCAGCTCACCGCGCCCCGCCCCGCCGTCTCCATGGGGACCCTCAGCTCACCGCGCCCCGCCCCGCCGTCTCCATGGGGACTGCAGCACACAGGCCGCGCCAGGTCGGCAGCGCGCGGTCTCCATAGGGACCTGCGTGGTCGCCCGGGCATTAGCGGCTGGAATGCCTAGAAGCCGGTTGGCCGCGGACCAAGCTCTGAGCGCCCGGCTCTGCGCGGGCCACCACGCACAGGCCACCCTCTCCACGGCCGCGCTGGAGTCATTCCTCCTTTGTCACCCTCCCTTCCGCGGTGGGAGCCCGCACGTCATTGCTCCTTCCAGAACCTCTGACAAAGCCGAACAGAGGGGTCAGACAGCAGGCTGCGAGACACAAGAGGAAACCTGGACACTGAGGCCAACGTTTGCTTGGTCTCAAAGAAAGCCAGGAATTTTAAGGACGTGTGATGGGAAAGTGGGATTTCTTGTCTAGCAAATCCTCAGAATATTTTAATACTTATTATTGCCTATTTTCGCATTACACAGGTACCAAAACAACACCCATCCTCATTAGTTTGCAAAGACTCTGGTCAAAATGCCTTTAAGTATCTATTGTGAAGCTGTTTACACTTCTTCTTTTATATGTAGATGAATAGTTATCGCCTTAAAAAAACGTTCACAATATGAAAAGCAGGTTGGGAAACCATAAGAATAGTACTATCTAATTTTTGTAAATAAAGTGTAAGAACTCTAAAAGTATGTACACAAAAATGTTAAATGGTTTGCTCTGCTAGTACTTTAAAAAAATCTGCAATTAAAATTTTTCTATAATATACAATATCTATATAATAAATTTTATTCTAGTACAGTTTTATTCTAATCCAAACACTCCATGTTGCCTCTGTTGCCTTTAACATATGTTTAAGTTGTGTGAAAGGATACAAATTAGGTAAGCTAAAATTTTGTTCCTGGGACCCACATGGGGCCCCTTGAGAGAAAGAACAAATGAATAAACCAGACCACTCTATTGCTCTGTCTCTAATCCATGGGAAACAGCATTGGCTTTACTCTGTCTCAGGACCCATCCAAGAAAAACACATCACATGGCAGAGTTTCCTTTTGCTCTGTCAGACAGTAGAATGCTTTACCCCCGGAATCCTTATTCTCTCAGCCCAGCAGAAAAGTTCTGAAGCTTGCATTTAATTTCTGGTGATTTTATCATTTCTAAAAGGAGTATTAAAAAGACCAAGTAAATTGACCAAAATTCATTGAACTCAGAATGCCAAAAATTACTAAAATCGAGATCTTTTTCTCTATCATTCAATAAGTCCTCAGCCTCCCCATTTCCTATTAGGTGCTTGTTTCTGTGGCCTGGAAACAAGGAGGAAGAAGCATGGGCCTCTACTACAAGGTGAAAGCAACTGAGCTATGAACAGATAAACCAAATGTGGTATATCCATAGAATGAAATATGATTCAGCCATGTAAAGAAATGAAAAACTGATAATGTTACCACATGGATAAACCTTGAAATCTTGAAAACGTCATGCTAAGAAGCCAGTCGCAAAAGACCATATATTGTATGATTCCAGTTATAGAAAATGTCCAGAATTGGCAAATCCATAGAAGCAGGAGGTAGATTACTGGTTGCCAAAGGGCGAGGGGTTTAGGAAGTGGGAAGTGACTGCTAATAGATTTCTTTTTGGGGTGATCAAAATGTTCTAGAATTAGATTATCGTGATGGGTGCACAACTCTGTGAAATCTACTAAAAGCCAGTGAATGGTATACTTTAAAATGGTAAATTTTTACACTAACAACGAAGTAGCAGAAAGAAAAATTAAGACTACAATCCCATTTACAACTGCAACAAAAAGAATAAAATACCTAGGAATAAACTTAACCAAAGAGATGAAAGACCTGTATGCTGAAAACTATAAAACACTGTTGAAAGAAATAGAAGACAAAGAAATGGAAAGAGAATTCCCTGCTCTTGCGTTGGAAGAACTAACATTGTTAAAATGTCCATACTTCCAAAAGCAATCTACAGATTCAGTGCAATCCCTATCAAAGTTCCAACAACATTTTTCACAGAAATAGAACAAAGAATCCTAAAATTTATATGGAACAACAAAAGACCTTGAACAGCCAAAAGAATCCTGAGAAAAAAGAATGAAGCTTGAGGTATCACAGTCCCCAGCTTCAGAATATACTATAAAGCGATAGGAATCAACAGTATGGTACTGGCACAAAAATAGACACACAGATCAATGGAACAGGATCGAGAGCCCAGAAATAAACCTCCAAATTTCTGGACAGCTAATTTTCAACAAGGGAGCCAAGAACATACAATGGAGAAAGGAAAGTCTCTTTAACAAATGGTGTTAGGAAAACTGGACAGCCACATGCAAAAGAATGCAAGTTGACCATTATCCTATACCATGCACAAAATTAACTCAAAGTGGATTAAAGACTTGAATGTAACACCTGGAACCATGAAACTTCTCGAAGAAAACATAGGCAGTATGCTCTTTGACATCAGTCTTAGCAGCATATTTTCAAGCACCATGGCTGAGATGGCAAGGGAAACCATACAAAATCAAACTAAAAACCTTCAGCAGAGCAAAGGAAACCATCAACAAAATGAAAAAGACAATCCAACGACTGGGAGAAGATATCTGCAAACCATTTATCTGATAAAGGGTTAATATCCACAATAAACAAAGAACTCATACATCTCAACAACAAAAAAACTAACAACCCAATTAAAAAATGAGCAAGAGGTCTGAACAGACATTTATCCAAAGAAGATATATAGATAGCCAACAGGCATATGAAAAGATGTTCAACATCATTAATTATCAGGGGATGCAAATCAAAACTACAATGAGATATCACCTCATACTCATCAGAATGGCTATAACTGATAAGAGAGGAAACAATAAGTGTTGGAGAGGATGTGGAGAGAAGGGCACTCTCATACACTGCTGGTGGGAGTGTAAAGTGGTGCAGCCACTATGGAAAACAGTATAGAGGTTCCTCAAAAAATTAAGAATAGATCTACCAACTGATCCAACTATTCCACTGCTGGGTATTTATCCAAAGAACTTGAAAACACGAATGTGTAAAGATACATGCGCTCCTATGCTCACTGCAGCATTATTCACAATAGCTAAGACTGGGAAGCAGCCTAGGTGCCCATCAAGGGACGAATGGATAAAGATGTGGTATTTATACAGTGGAATACTACTCAGCCATAAGAAATTATGAAATCTGGCCATTTGTGACAACACGGATGGACCTTGAGGGCATTATGCAAAGCTCAATATGTCAGAGGGAGAAAGTCAAATACCCGTATAATTTCACTCAGAAGGCGACAACAACACACACACACACACACAGATTGGATTAGTGGTTACCAGAGGGGAAGAGGGAGGGAGGAGGGTGAAAGGGGTGATTAGGTATGTGTGTGGTGATGGATTGCAACTAGTCTTTGGGTGGTGAACATGATGTAATCTACACAGAAATTGACATATAATAATGTACACCTGAAATTACATGTTATAAACCAATGTTACCACAGTAAAAAAAAAAGATGTATCTAAACAGCTCAAAAAAAAAGAAATTAGTAGATTTTATGGTGTATGAATTATTATTTCAATAAAGGTGTTTGAAAAGGGTGATGAAGCTAATGTTTGCTGAACAGTATTGGTGTCAGTTATTGTGCTAAGCATCTTACTCACACTTTTTTGCTTCCTCCTCATAATAATCACTAGGAGTTGGTTATTAACCTTATTTTCTACATTAAAAACAAAAGTTAAACTGAAAGAAACTGAGTAAATGTAATTAAACACAAAGCTAGGGAGCAGAATGGGATTCAAATCAAGGCCTAACTTTAAAGCCCACACTCTTTTCATTATACCAATATTTAAATGTACACAAGGTGCAAATTTACCAAAAATACAGAACGTCAAATTTTATAAACAGTTTACTTTTGAGGATTGAACCCTTGTATTCGCAGATGGAAAACTACAGGTTTCTTCAAAAAGAAAGATAGAGACTAATTTAAAACAATCACTTTATTAAAAATAGCAAATCTCACAAATACTCATTTAACATTTTGTTGTCACTGGCCACCGGAAAACACAGCAGCATGTGTAGTGATTGTCTAATGTAAACGGAAGCTGGGCCGCCACAAAAAGCCTGTGCATCACACACTTGTGATCAACACTGGACTAAGTCTGTGGGCTCACGAAGGATGGATCCTGCAGCCCGATCAACTATGTTTAGCACAACGCATTTCAAGTATAATTCCATAAGGCAACAACATAAAGCAGAGCAGCACAACCCCTGCATCACATTTCCTGATTAAGCCTCGAGAAGGCCTAGCCTCCAGTTACGGTGAATTAGAGCAAGTCACATTTACTAAAAGCAGTATGAGAAAACCACCATTGCACTTGCATTTCAGTTGCTTTAATTCCTTGTTGTGGAAGATGATTCTGCTACTGGATTCAGCTGGAAAAATAAAGCATACTGCTTTTCTTCAAACCACAAGAAAGCAACTGTTGTTTCATTTTAGCTGGCAGAAGTATTTGGAACATCTTGTGCGTCTGCCAAATGGAGTTTTTGTCTGGATTCATCAGTTAAGAAGATTTTCTATAATGAGTACTTCTTTTAAATTTCTGGAAGTTACACTCTGGAGCTAAGAGACAGAGGTATTAAAAAAACCAAATACGTTTAAAGGGGAAGCACCTATGTTGCTACTGAGAAACTTGGATGTGATAAGACAGTTTTTAAACGTAGTGAAGTAATTATACCATATCTAGAATTTTGAAGACTTTAAAAAAAATCACTGAATCAAGACTATGTTCCAGGTTTTAATAGAACATAGGATTATTTTAATGCAGCAAGAATCATTTTCAGGGTAAGGAGCTGATTAGGGGCAAAATATGAAACCTTACTGGATCTAAAAAGTATTCATCTGAGAAGACAATACCACTTTATCATCCTTGGGCAAACAACTTCTTTGTAAAAGTCAAAAATAAAATAAAATCATCATAGCTCTAAAACCTTTCCTATAATCCTCTGAATTACTTGAGAAGATTGGAAATAGGACGGAATTCCTGCACTCATTCCCTTCCCTTGTCACCATCATTGCCTTTCACATTCCTCTTTGATCTCTACGATCCACCTGCAGCCTATTTATTCAAGACAATTCAAACAATGATATAGATACATCAAGGACAACTAAATGCTAGGAATACACATATGGCAGAAGTTGCAAAAATGTACAGACACGAGTACTGCCATCAAAGACATGCTTATCCAGTTGGAAGGCTGAAATTGAACACACAGAAATCAGCAGATAACGAAATAAGGCAGAATATTAGTTTGAGGTACAAATGAAATGCTTCATGGAAGCGGTCAGCTTCAGTGTTATTTGATAAGGAGAAGGGGGAGGCCAGAGCATCTCTAGTAGGAAGTACAACCTGAGCAAAGGAATTAAGGTGAGCACAAACATGTGCTCTTGGGCATCCAAAGAACCAGCCTGGGAGGAAGGCAAAATAATACAGGAAGTATAGGTTGTGGTCAAATTATTGAGAACCTGTAGAATATGTGACATGATAAAAAAAACTTGGTAAGAAACATGAATGGCAAGATGAAAGTGATGTTTAGCAAGAATAATTGAGTGGCAATGTCTGAAGTCTACAGGAGCATGGTCCAGTAGAAATATAATGCAAGCCACAGACCTAATTTTAAAAATATATTTTATTTATACTAATAATCAGAAAATTATCATTTCAACATGTAATCATTATGAAAAATACTGAGATGTTTTACATTCTTTTTTCGTACTAAATCTTTGAAATCAGGTGTGCATCTGATACTTACAGCACATTTCAACCCAGATAGCCACATTTCCAGTGCTCAGTAGCTACATGGCTGGCGGCTGCCGTATTAGACAGGGCAGCTCTAGAGCTGGAACAGAAATTTGAAAGGTTATAGAATCAGGGGATGAGGGTAGAGCATGAAGGAGGAATAAAAGGCAGAAGTGATGTCTGACAACTAGGTGTGATTCAGAGACGGCAGATCATGTTAAGTTCATGTCCAGTCTCCATGCAGATAGTGCCAGGGTTGATTAGCAATGTCTGCTACGGTCATGGAAGGGATTTTTAAACAATCTTGGAGACTAAAATAACAGAAGTTTTGATGAGAGAGGGAAATTAGGAGGAGAAAGTTTGAGTACAGGCAGAATATTTATCACAGATGAGGAAATGAGGGTTGCCAGACTTTGCTCAAGGTTACACAGCTGCTAACCAAGATTTGAAACCAAGCAATCCAGAGCCCCTGCTCTTGTATTCTATCATGTTGCCTTGTTTAACTGTGGTGGACGAATTGAGGAAAGTGGTGAGACAAAGAAGTCTAAATGCTTAACAAAAACTCAAGTAAGAGGATAGGAGATACTTAAATGCCATAAGCTATAGAAAGACTATAAACCTTAGGACGAATATAAAGAAAAGAACAAAGAACCAGGAACTACTCCTAAGAAAAGCCCTCTCATTAACTCATATCTTACCCCTGTATTTAAGCCTTTCTCGGCAACATTAACCTCCCCACATTTTATGTAGCTTCTCAAAACCTTATTTTCTTCATCTGTAACATGGGGAGTAGACCACCAACTACTTCCAAGGGTGGGACCAAAAGGGAGAGTATGTGTAAAACCCTTTACAAAATACTTGGCAAATAGTAAGTCTTCAATAAAGATTAGCTATTAATTGCTATTACTAGATTTGTATATACTTTATCTCTTCATTGTTGTTACTGCACAATTCGGCAATTAATAACACTATATGCATAGCCATAATAGTAATTTATATATATATTTTATATAGTTTGGAAAATTTTCACATACACATCATTACATACAGCAATTACCCCATACTACAGAAGACACTCTGAGATGTTAACCAATCTGCACAAGTTACATTATCAAAATGTGGAACCAAATTTCAAAGATCAAATCTCTTGACTCTACAATCTCATTATGTGGTTCAAAGGGATGTCTTCTCTCTCAAGGAATTTTATAGGCAGGATCACTTCTTATTGTTCTTATATATTTCACATTGTGCCTATCACTATGCTCAAAAATATATTTTGAAAAGTTCCTGAGATAATTGCTCTAATAAATATCAAAACCTGAATATTTTATTTGTGCCTTGGTGGTTTCCCTGAAGCTACCCCTATAATATACTTTTTTATGCATCTAAAATATTCTATGTAATGATACTAAATTAAGCATAGTATATTATGTCTGCATATCCAACTGCCATTTACCTTAAGAATCTAAGATTCAAGATAATTTATATGGCAACTAGCCTAATTCTCAATTCTTTTGATCAAAAAATTTTCTTTCAATTTGTTTAAAAAACCCCCAAACAATACAAAGCAAAGCAGAACAAACCAGAAACAAAATTTCAGCATACAAAACAACTAAAACTTCTATTTGGAAACCAAACGGGAAGAGAAATGGCCCCAGTAAATAATAGTAGGTGTCTCTGTTCACTTGACTGGGACTATTCACCAGAAATTATAATTTGTAAACTTTTACTGTTGATATTAGGCAAAGGATACATGGAAGAATTCAATTCTTCTAACTGTAACACAAAGAAACAAATTTAATTTTTATTTTTATAAGGTAAATATCTCAAGTAGATAAACGTTTACACATCTAAATAATTTTTCATTTAAGCTTCAAGTGAAAAAGCAAAATATTACAGAAAACACTTTCCAAAAATTTCCAGGATGGGAAATTCACTTATGCAAAATAATTACAAAGTAGCTTTAGCATTTATGAAACAAGAATATGAGAAGAGAATTAAACCAGATGATAAAAACTGGAGTTTTATAAGTATTCTTAAAACCGTGCATAACTATAATCATTTTTAATGACAGTTTTTAAAAGAAAAAAGTTACCATTTTAATGATCAAAATCTTTAAAACCTTTATGAATTACAAAAAGATTTCACATGACACTCAGTTTTCAGTATGGGGTAGAATTAGTTACCCATAGTTTACAGAGGGAAAAATCTTAGAGAAATTTTAACCCTAAATTGTCCAAAGTTACACAGTAATAACCCAAATGCAGACCCTGGACTAAACAAAGTCTTTCTGGTTTCATTTGACGTTATATTCATCATACCACAGTCACTCTTCTAAATGTATTGCAAATTAAGCTTATATTTGTTAAAAGGAACTGGTAAAAGGAAATATTTGTAAGACTGAATATGACAGACTTGAAATCAAATGCATATGCTTGAAATTTTTAAAGTATGGGCTTATAATTTCCCTCACATTTACTCATTCAAAAGATCAAAGCAACAGAAATTAACCCTTTTTGTCACTGGTAAATATGGAAACTATTCTGAAACTGAAATGTATTGAATTCAATTTTTCTTTATTTTTGTTCCAAAAAATGTTTAAAGAGGCAAATTTACGTGATTAATACTTCTCAGTATGAGAATCATACGTGGTGTTATGGGATGAATTGTGTCCTCCAAAAATTTGTATGTTTTAGTAACCCCAATACCTCAGAATGTGAGGATGTTTGGGGAGATGAGGTCTTTACAGAGGTAATTAAGTTAAAATGAGGTCACTAGGCTGGGCCCTAATGCAAACGACAGGGTCGTTACAGGAAAAGGAAATTTGGACACAGGCAGCACGCAGAGAGGGAGAATGCCGTGAGAACATGAAGATGACCATCTACAAGCCAAGGAGACAGGCCTCAGAAGAAACCAAGGCTGCCGATACCTTGATCTCCAACTCTGGCCTCCAGGACTGTGAGAAAGTGAATGCCTGCTGTTTAAGCCACCTAGTCGATGGTATTCTGTCATGGAAGCTCTAGTAAGCTAATACACATGGAAGTGTACTAAGTTACCATAACACCAAATACAGTTGTGCATTTAAAATAATTCACTACCAACTGAGTAAATAAGACAAAACGTATGAATCATGTCAGGATCTTTTGACATACTATCTTCTTGGGTTTTTTTTGTTAGTTTTTTTTTGAGGAAGATTAGCCCTGAGCTAACATATGCCATCAATTCTCCTCTTTTTGCTGAGGAAGACTGGCCTTGAGCTAACATCCATGCCCATCTTCCTCTGTGGTATGTGGCGTGGTGGGACGCCTACCACTACGCCATGGCTTGACAAGTGGTGCGCAGGTCTGCACCTGGGATCCGAAGTGGCAAACCCAGGCTGCGGAAGCAGAATGTGTGAACTTAACTGCTGCATCACCAGTCGGCCCCAACATACTATCTTCTACATGTTAAGATCTTACCATACATGTGCAGAAGTGAATATTTCACTTTTAGATTTGACAGCATTCTCAGAATATATGCTTAGATGTAAACATGATAATTTCCTTGGAATACATTTATTTAAAAAAAAGAGTAAAATACAACATGGATGAAACTTGAAAACATTACACTAAGTGAAAGAAACCAGACATAAAAGGGCATATACTGTCTCATTTCATTTATATGAAATATCCAGAACAGACAAATCCATAGAGACAGAAAGTAGATTAGTGGTTGCTAGGGGATGGGGAGAGGGGAGAATTAAGCGGTACAAGGTTTCTTTTTGGGATGATGAAAATGTTCTGTAATTAGTGATGATGTCTGTACAACATTGTGAATATACTAAAAACAACTGAATTCTATGCTTTAAAATGGTTAGAACAGGGAATTTTCTCTCAAAAAATTTTATTAAAGAAAGAATAAACAGAAAGAACTATACTCACATCAGACAGAAGCCTATCCAGATTGGAGTCACTGGCTGTTTTTCTCTTGTCCTCCGGAAGTTCCTCTAACTCCCCATAGAGCTCCAAATTCAGACGAGCTAATTTCTCCTGCATTCCCCGGACATGCTCCATCTGCTCAATGGAACATTCATTTCCTGGGGGAACATCCCAGAACATCACTAAAGATTAAGGTAGTTCAAACTAACTCTTTTGATGAAAAACTTTTAAGCTCTAGGTGCTCAAAAGAAATCAGTTTTCTTTCTTTTGTAAATTGCATCATTAATGACTGCATATTTCCTGTGTATAATTACAAATAAAATTTCTGACCAGGAAAACAACGACAATCTAAGAAATGACTGTGGGCACTAGAAAAAAAGTCAGATAGGGAAGTTTTTTAAAAAAACAAAATCATCCCTTAGGTAAAGAAAATATTTTTTTCAACAGTAATATCATCATATATAAAAGCAACAGCACCATCTAATCATGTTGAATTTGACAACTGCCACTTGAACTGAGTGACCCAACATCTTACAACAACCTGAGGGAAATTAAGATTCCTATAAGAACTTGAACCATGAATCATTTTGCCAATCAATTATGTATTCCTCCTTTAAGAAAGCGGTTAAGTTTGTACGTTCCGCTTCTCGGCAGCCTGGGGTTCACCGGTTAGGATCCCGGGTGTGGACATGGCACTGCTTGGCAAAAGCCATGCTGTGGTAGGCGTCCCACGTATAAAGTAGAGAAAGATGAGCATGGATGTTAGCTCACAGCCAGTCTTCCTCAGCAAAAAGAGAAGGATTGGCAGTAGTTAGCTCAGGGCTGATCTTCATCACAAAAAAAAAAAAAAGAAATATAAATGAAAGCATTTATGAAGCATGAAAAATATATCGAGGCATGAGAAACACAAAGTAACATTTTCAATTGTATACAGTACTGCAAGACAACTTAACCGCTAATGAACAGGTCTCACCTTACTCACTGACTGCAGTCCTCTGAGGGGGCCTCATCCGCCCAGAGCAACTAATGTACATACATGGCATATATTTTCATACGGTTTAAGTACCGCCTCTGCAACCTCTTGATACTATAATTTTTTTCCAAAAAAACTTTGGTTTTCTCAAAGGGGTGGTAACAATATAAAGTAAAAATATAAAGAGGTAGAAATCATGAGAAGAGAAGAGAAGAGATTCAGAGGATGAATCCAGGTGACCTAACATGAGAACAACAGAAGCTCCAAAAGAATACAAAGGAACAGATGGAGGAGAAATAAATGAACGACAGAAAAAACATTTCTTGAGATGAAGGATGAGCTGGCAAAATGAAGGGCTTGTTGATTGCCAGGCAGGATTGATGAGAAAAGACTCAGTCCTAAGCGTATCCTGGTAAATGCCTACACTTTAAAGATAAAGGGGGCTGCCCCGGCCCAAATGGTTAAGTTCGCACTCTGCTCTGGCAGTCCAGGGTTTTGCTTGTTTGAAACCTGGGTGCTCATCAGGCCATGCTGAGGCAGCGCCCCACATAGCTCAACTAGAAGAACCTACAACTAGAATATACAACTATTTACTGTGAGGCCTTGGGGAGAAGAGAAAAAAAATGGGGGGCTTTGGGGAAAAGAGAAAAAAAAAAAGACTGGCAACAGATGTTAGCTCAGGGCCAATCTTTAAAAAAATAAAATAAAATAAAAATAAAGATAAAATCTTTCAAGCATCGGGACAGAAAAAACATACCTACTAAGAAAGAATCAGACTGGCAATTGACTTCTCATCTGCAACCCTTATAGACAGCAAACTGACAAATAACAGACTTCAACCCAAGAACACAGGGCACACAGGAGCAGGTGCAGGAGGGGAATTGTGGAGAAAGCAAAGAAGTAAAGTGATCCAAAGATGAAACCTCAAGGGTGGGAGAGAAGACGGAGGTGAGAGGAAGGGAAGGTACTCTAAAGATACTGCCTTTCTGGGCTGGGCATAAAGCAAGGAGGGAGGGATATAATAAACATCACTGTGTGACACACAGTGTGTTTTACTGTCTTCTTTTCAAATAATAGTATAACCAAGACTGGAAGGAAACCCAGCACTATGAGAAAAGACAGACATATACAAGTACACAAAAATCAAAGACTTTGACAAGGTTAAGTGTACCAAAACAAAGTCCACAACACAATAAATTTGGTTTAAAAAAAAACAAAAATGAAAACAAAACACAGAGGTCAGAGGGTATCTACAATATACAAAAGGCTCTCAACAATTAACAATAACAACAAAAGGATAAATAACCAAATAGAAATTGGGTCAAGGTCCTGAAAAAAGCAACCCAACTGCTTAGCAAACATACATGGATATTCAAACCCAAGAGAAGTAAAAGAAAGCTCCTTCACACCAAATGCTGGCAAGAATCGGAAGACAGCTAATAACTACTGCTGGTGGGAATTCAGGGAAAGGGTTCTTTCGTAAACTGCTGATGGCAACTAGAAGCGCAATAGCTTTTTTGGAAAGCAATCTGGATATTTTTATTAAAGTTAAAACTACAGGGGCTGGCCCTGTGGCCGAGTGGTTAAGTTTACATGCTCCACTTCGGCGGCCTAGGGTTTCGCCGGTTCAGATCCCAGGTGCGGACATGGCAGCGCTCCTCAGGCCATGCTGAGGCGGCGTCCCACATGCCACAACTAGAAGGACCCACAACTAAAAATATACAACTATGTACTGGGGGGCTTTGGGGAGAAAAAGGAAAAATAAAATCTTCAAAAAGCAAAAAAGTTAAAACTACATACATACTTTGATCCGGCAATCCCACTTACAGGAATCCACTCCAGAGAAATAAAAGCACTGGTATAAGGATACAGTGTATGTGTAAAAAGATGTTCACTACACCATCAAACTAGTGGCTCAAAACTGGAGACAAAGTCAATGCCCTTCAACAGGGAAATCGGTGAATAGACCAGGGTATATTCACAACCTGGAATATTATGTAGCCATTAGAAAAAAAATAACGAATTAGAGTTATAATAGGTGACCTGGAGAGATTTTAATCAAATATTGTTTAGTGAGGAAAGAAAGACACAGAAAAGTACATATAAGATACTATTTGTATAAAATCATGAAAATGAAAATCTTTGTATGCATGTTTCTATGTATCTGTACTATAACCCGGAGAAAAATATGAAAAGATTTACACCTGGTTTTTATTTATTTACTTTTTTTAAAGATTGGCACCTGAGCTAACAACGGTTGCCAATCTTTTTTTTTTTCCCTGCTTTTTTCTCCCCAAATCCCCCCAGTACATAGTTGTATATATTTTAGTTGTGGGTCCTTCTAAACACCTGGTTTTTAACATGGTTATTTGGTTGGGATGAGGGAAGGTGAAGCCAATAGAGGGGGTAGGGAGAGGACTAGGGGGCCATGGAGCAAAAAAGTGAGGGAGGGAAAGACAGCACTTGACCCAATATGTTATGCTGATGACATTTATGCATCTGTGTGAGATTCTATATGTGTGCATTCCATAATTTTAAAGTTGCTTAAAAAATACAAGAAAATAATTTTATCATCAGAAAAAGCTTACAAAGTAAGTTGCAAGCTGAACATGAAAAATCTGACTACATACTTTGTGACTCATACAAAAATACCTACTCAGACTTTTTATTGAAACAATCAGTCAACTGTTCTTATATCTTCATGAAATAAAACCAGAATCTTTTATATTCGAAAGTCAGGAATCACGGGCAAGAAACAAGTTTAGACTTGTCATGATCTCCAGACTTTACAAAACTAAAACACTAAGTCTAAATTTTTAACTGATGAAGAATGTTCTTTTTCTTTGTTACACTTGCAAGACACTTGTTCCATAATAGTAATCCTAATTTAACGTTCCAACTAACTCTCCCTTTTTGAATAAAAGAAAATGGCACTTTTAAAAGGAATTGCAAAATACACACAGAAAATAGGATGCCAACATCCTGAAAAGAAAACAGTAATGAGAAACATCTATGCTTACCGAATGCTTGAAGTTTTCCTGAGTGGAAATCATTCAAAAGGCTTAGCAGGCCCCGCTCCATCTCCTGAACATCTGAGACGTCGGTGAGAAAGGAGTGCTGAATCGGAGTTGACTGAGCACCTTTTCCTTCTCCACCCTGAGGTCTGCTCTTTTCTTTCATCACTCTGCAAACAGGATGCAATAAAAAATTAATTGCATATGATTATCTTTAAAAAGAGATAATTATATCTTTTCAGGCTGTTCTAGATTAAGCAAAATTAATGAATTAAATGGAATTTTCCTTAAAAACAGGAAATCAGAACAAAACCAATACTAAACAAAAGCAGTAATTTTAAGCCAGAAATCCAAACAATAGGTTGTAAAAATCTCAAACTTATAACTGGTAAGGCATATAGAGAGTTTGACTAATACATTTATAAAATACGCTAATTCTTTGGATTGCAAAAAACTGAAAAGAGAATTAGTAAGTCTTCTTACTATCCTATGTTTCATATTTCATTTCTAGGTAAAATATATTACACCTTTCCCTTCTAAACTTTATCCTATCTGTTCCTTGGCTATCAGTTGTTCAACAAGCATAGGGACATACTAGCTGACACTATGCCAGATACTGGGTACACAAAGATGCACACAACATCAGTCACTGTTCCGAAGAGGCCCAGTCTAAGGCAAAAGGAAGACATATAAATTCATAATCACCATATGACGGAGTGCTAAAAACCCATTATCATCCTTGACACCTCCAACTTTCTAAGGCCCCCACAAGCAGTCATGAAGTCCTATTGATTATATCCACAAATATATCTCTAATCTCTAGTTCTTTCCTTCTCCACTGCCACTATCGTATCTCTTGAGTGAACTACTCCAACAGCTCCCCAGCTGGTCTTCCCATCTCTATGTGTTGTCTCTGATCTCTCTTCCCTCCCCACGGAGCAGCCAAGTCAATTTTTAAAAAGTAAAATCATTATTGGAATGTTCTTTTCCAAGTGTCTTTGGCTATGTCCCTCTGTGTCCTCAAAGAGAGCATGAGATCATCATCAAGGCAGCAATCTCGTCTTTTCTTCTGTGTAAACCCAATGGCTACAGAGTGCTATAAGCATTACTTCCTTAACTGACTCTCCATGATGAGCTTGCAATAGGAGATAAACTTATTCAATCATAATTGGAAAGACGACTGAGATTATGAAATGCTTTTCCTCTATGGATCTTATTTGCTTTCCAAATATCTAATACTTCAAAATACTTATAAATATGCAGCAGTACTATATAACACATTTAAACTTGTCACTCCTGTTTCTTTAGAGCCTCAAGACAAATGATCTTCAACAAATATTAATAATGCTTACTTACTTTAGTGTTTTAAATTTCTTCTTTGAACTTTTCCTGTTTGAATTTTTACAATAAATACAAATGAATGAAAACAATGAAATCACTCTTTTTTTAAGAATAAAAACTACCAAAGCACAAACACTCAACTTAGTTTAAAAAAAAAAACAACACGTATATCTTTTTTCCTATTTCTGTCTAGCTCTTCAACTTTGTCTACAAGTTTTCTTGGTCTGTACTCTTTAATATGAGACAAGTAAGGGCCTTTGAACCAATCGTTCATTTTGCATTTTCTAATCTCTATAATCTTTATTAATTTTTTTCTAAGTCACATATTATCCGGCCTCAACTGTTTTAAAAGTCAAGCCAAGTGAAATAAATGTTATAAGAATTAGTGGATTTAGTATTTATTTTAATAGCATTTTGCTGTGATGATGTGAAAGAAAATAATTCACCTTTTTAACTTTGGTCGCTGTGAAGTTGACTGTGACGCAGGATTTGAAAATCCTGTGCTTTTGCTAACTGGAATGGCATTTTTTTTGGCATTAGCAACCTGAGTAGAGTGGGCACTAAAAGACTTAGGACTCCTCCTCTTCACTTTCCGTTCCTCCATTGTTTTAAGTTCCTTATTACACCAAGGGCAGCTTCTTATGACCTAAAGAAATACAGCAAAATTATACATGCATGCAACAATATGCCAAAATGAAAGAAGTTCAAAGACCCACTTCATAGGCTGAAAGAGGATCAAGAATTTCTGAGGTCATTAGACAAAGTCAGAACCAGGATCCCTTAAGTTTAACCTACCATCCTGTGTACAAAGAAGCCCTAAGTAGAACTGCCTGTTAGACAAAATGTTTTCCACCATTTTTTTATTCACTGATCTTACAAACATTTACCCACTTCCACTTGCCAGGCACTATTCTGGGCAGTGGGGAGATGGTACTGAAAAAGACAAGGTCCCTGCCCTCAAAAAGCCTACATTATAGAGGGGAACAATAGATTAAAAACAAACAAAACAGTCACATGATATTCCCAGCCAGACTCCAGCTTTTGGTGGCCTTTCAGCCTCCCCTTTAAAATGTATTCTCAGAACCAACTAGATTCAAACAGATGTATAATTGACAGGGGTATCTGCCTTTTAACTAGCAACTAGAAAACTCATTTCAACTACCAAGCAGAAACTCAGTTTCTGCCTAGGGATAATACTGATTCTAGTTCACTGATCACGTGAAGTTCTATAAAATTAAACCTGTTCCGAGACTATTCTGAATATACTTTCTCTACCTATTTCCAAGGAAACATGAAACTTTATTGTACATGTTTAGTTTTGCTAGTATCAAAAGTTACACTATGAAGTTACAGCTGGCCCTTCCATAAAGAATGTGTGTAAGGTCTTCCATTTATCCAGTACTTTCCCTTATTTTATGTATTAACCAGCTTTATTTTCCTAACAGCCTTCCATCTAAAAATATCATTCCACATTTCCTGTACATTCATGCATAATAATAAACTCTTAATTATACTGTTCCATGTGTCATAAGATGAAAAATTTATACGGCTATTTACTTCATCAGACTGTAAAGTGCCTTAGGAGCAAGAGGCCTTTTTTTGCATATTGCGTTGAATTTAATCAAGCTGTGACCATTCGAAAGGATTCAAATCCACTTATATCACTCCTAAAATAATTACTTGAGAATTTTAATGAAAACAGATTTTTTGCTACTATCTGAACTCAACGCCACTAGCACTGGAGTTTAAACCACTGAGCTCAGCTGGCTCAGGCGACTCAGACGCTGGAGCCATCAAGCCTCCAGAGAAGCAAAGGTTTTAAAGGAAAAGCTGCCATGCCCGGTCTCTAATCCCAGACACCAAGTGCATATCCGCTTAAATCTTGACTAACAATTTTTACTTTAAGAAGCATTTTTAGTAACAGAACAGACATTTTGGTGGTGTTTCAGCATGCAACGCAAATTAAATGGAACTTTAAGAAACACCAGAGACGACGAGATACCAGTCCTCCGAAGAGACAAGGATTTGTATACGTTTACGACACCCGTAAGCACACGGCCTTCAAACTTAATGACGCTAATAATACACATTTGGTGATACAAGAGAAAGAAAATAAGGCCTAGGAAGCACAGCAATGCAAATAAACCAACAGCGGTCTTAAGTAAGGCGTTGCGAAGGCCGGGGTCTGGAATTCATCAGGTTCTGGGTGGTAACATCTCGGCCGCGAGCGCACCGAAATCCTCCCTGCGCACCGAGCCCAGGCCCTCGGAGGCGGCGGCCGGGGCACTGGCTCCCCGGCTCTCTCCGCGGCAGAGACCGGGACGGCGGCCCGGCAGGCCCTCGACTTCGCCGCCTCTCCCCAGCCAGCCGCGCCGGAGCGGGCAGCGGGCGGGGCCGACGGCGGACGCGGGGGTCCCCTGCTTCCGCTTCCTACCTGCAGAAGAAGGGGCTCGGGGTCCGCCGCCACCTGCAAAGACCCCGAGCGTCCGAAGCCACCACCGCAGCCCGAACCCGGGTCGCACCCCGGCCCCGACGCCGCCGCAGCCCCCTTTGTTTACGGAAGTGACGCAGGGGGGCGGGGCCTGCGTGACCCCGGCGCGCGCCTCGCCTCTTCCGGTGGTCGCAGCACCGCCCTCGTCTCAGTCCGCGGCACCGCATGGCCTCCTCCGCGCTGCCTCAGCGGTGGCTTCCGTGGGCGTGGAAGGGAGGACCCATGGCGGGGCCTTTATCTGGGGCCAAGGGCCCACAAGCAGCAGGGCCAAGGGATGTCGGCGGAGGTAGGAGCGAGAAATGGGGCCCCTCTCCGGAAGCTGCCCGCCCCTCGGCGAGCGTCCGCGCACTACAGGTCCCAGCGGGCTCTGCGGGAAGCTTGGCGGCGGAGCCGGGCGTCGCCATGGCAACTGTCCCCGGATTGTTTCCCTTGCGTCGTCGGGACCTGGAAAGGTAACCAGCCTTGGCTGGGAAGGCTGCGTGGAAAGCCGTGATTCTGTCTGGCGACCCCGATGCTGTGCCCCTAAGTGAGGGCCTGTTACTGCTTCTGTTAATAGCTACTCTATTCAGGGCTAGGCATCCCTTCTCTCTAAACCTCACTGCAGTTCCATGAGGTGGGGGTCAGAATCCCCTTTGAGAAATAAGGGATCTGACGCTCAGTAAGGCTAATAAACTCACGTGTTTCTGTCGCCCGGCAGTTCTTCCTTGCACGTACTGCCTCTGGAGAAGGCATTGCGGACTGAGATGGAACCATCCTAAATGAGCGGAGAAATCCATGATTCCCTAGTCTGGAAGGCCTTCCCCGTGTGGGCGTGCGTGGTGGGAAGCTAGAGTGAAGAGACTCCAGAGAGCCCACATACTTCTCCCGCATTTGCTAGTCAGGAAACCTTATCTAGAGATTGTATCAGCGACACAGGCAGAGCAAAGACAAACCCGATTATCCCGACTTCTAGTATGAGGTGTTTTTCTACCACCTCCTCCTTCCGTTTTCTAAAATTCCGGAAGTGTTTTAGAAAGAAAAACAGAGTAAACATTCATGTACCCACTATCCAGAGGGAACAGATGTTATGTTTTGTCATTTTATATTTTTAAATAAAAGACATAGACATTTCAGATTAAGTGGGTGCCAGCTATTCCCAGTGCCACTGCACTTCCCTTCTGAGAGGCAGCTGCTGTCTTAAACTTGATATGCATATTGCTGATGTAAGTTTGTATACTTTGACTGGTGCTCTGTATTTATAAACGTGTAGGAGGACTGTGGACTTTTGAAGTTTTGCATGGATGCTGTTATATTTTGTGTATTGATCTACAACCTGACTTTTTCACCCAATTCCGTTTTTGAGATCTATGCACATTGATAGATAAGGATAGATTTCATTTTTAACTTCAGTTTTAGCTGTATAGTATTCTATCAAACAGTGTGCCACAAATTATTTGAGAATTCCCATAATGATGGATATTTGGGTTTCCCATTTGTCGCTGTTAAAAACAATGCTGTAGGGTATAATCTCCCCCAGTATCTTTCCTCAGTGTCTCTTGACAACACACCTGAAAAGTTACAAAGACTTAGACATTTACAAAATTCTTGCATATGTGGTCTTTGATAAATTTGTCTTCTTCGTCAGGCTGTAAGTTCCTTGAAGGAAGATATCATGTTTTATTTGGTTTCGTATTTTAAGCACATTGCATAGAACATGACGTAAGGTAGATGCTCAATAAATGAATGTGTTATGAATCGAGTTCTTTGATTTTATTTCTGAAGTAAAGTGATTCCCACAATCCCACTTTAAACCCCAAGGTCCAGAGATCTAGGCCCAGTCACAGTGCCAGTCAGATGGCATCACTAATGCCCAGGCAAATGCTCCTTCTTTAGCTGGGCACTTTGTGTTGCAGTGCACCAGCCTTTCTACCAAGGGGATCTGATGAAGGAGCTAATCCTAAAGCTCAGGGAAATTGTTGACTGAGTGGTTCTTTTTAAACTTAATATTTGGGATAATTTCAGTTTGTGATTTTACAAAATTAATGTTTTAATTCAATTTCACATTCACACTTCCTTTTTAAAACCCAGAATAGTTAACAGGATTAGGGAATAGTTATCAGTGAGGTATGAGGACAAGTCATCGTTCCAATATTCTTTCTCCAAGTTCTTCTCATAGGAACACTCCAGCTTTAGGAGAAGGCTTGTATTACAGGCTTAACCAGAAAACAAAGTGTGCCATGAGCAAATTAGCTGGACTGTATTACCATCCTTCCTTCAGTTTTCTGTCCTTTTGAGTTTTAGTTCAAGTTCAGCAGTATTACTATGAAGTACAAGACTGCTAAGAAGTAGCCGTAGGGCTAGCTTACAGTATAGCAGGGAAGGCAGAAGGAAGGAAAGAATGGGGGAGGGGAGGGGAGGAAGGGCCCCTATAACGCCTTGTCTATATCTCTAGCGAACAAGGAAATTTGCAAGTGTCATTTAAAACCCAAACTGCTACCACTCTGTTTTTTAAGGAGTTGTCTTAATTCCTGACAGTGGGGAAATAAATCTTTAAATAGGGGCAAGAAAAGGGATGAGTCTCCAGGTAGATGGCCCATTTTGTGTCATAATAGAACCATGAGAGTTAGGTATGCACAGGTGGGCAGGAGGCTAAGTTTGGGGATATGAGATTGAGAAAGTTGAATTGCTTTGTATAATGAAGTAGGAAGAATTGTTCACTGTGGTAGAGAGTGGGATTGGGAAAAAAGCAAAAAAGGGAGCAGAGGGAGAAAGGAGAGTCAAAATGGTGGAAAGGACTTTTAAAAAGAGCAATGAAGTCTGTTACTCAATTTGTAATTGTTAGTGTTGCTCTAATTACACACATACACACACACACACACACACATCCTCCATGCTTCCAAATATCAAGATAAATCTCCTGCAAGCTCAAAGCTTTGTGTAAATCTTTAGGGAAGTCAAGGAAAAGGCATTGTGTTCTACGTCTTAGGGAGATTTGGTGGAAAACAAGGGCAATATGTGTGTAACAATAAAGTAGCCCATAAACTGAACTATGTCAGATAAAGTAGGAGCTTAGTGTCCAAAGTGATGGGAAAATTACAAACTACATTCTACCCTACAATCTTAGAAAGCAAAGAGATAGGAGTTTTCCATCATCTGAAGATTGAGGTTATATTTAATTTCATTTTAATCTTAGAGGGCAAGGATATCTGGGATGACACCTGGTAATCTGTCTGTCTTTCCCACTAGTCTGTTAGCTGCTCAAAGCAAGAAGTAGGTCTTATATTTCTTTATATTCCCCAAGTCTAGCATGGTGTCTGGTATAAAGTAGAAATTTAGCAAAATGTTCACTGGATGGATGAACAAATGGGAAAAAATTATTAGACTCATACGATGGTAAGTAACAGAATGGCATTATTAAATCAAGTGTCTCAATAACTCGATTACCTATTCAGGAATTAGTAGGTTGAGTCTTAGTCATACCTTCCTCTGATCTCCAGGTGGCAGTATTATCTCATTAAATTGTTTTGAGACCAGATCCCGTTTAACTTTTGAGAAAAGAGAACAAAAATGAATTGAAATAAAAACTTATTTTTGTAGCTTATTTCTGTAATTGTACAGAGCCAAATAAGAAATAAAATTAATTACGTGAGATTCTGGATTTCTTCCCCAATTTGAGCACAAATGAGAATCAGTGGTAGCTTTTTAATTCAACCAGTTCCCAAAACCTTGAAGGTAAATACAAATTGATGTACTTTGTTTACAAAATGCATCCATTCCTTCAAAGTGTGAAAACCTGTGTGTGTGTGTGTGTGTGTGTGTGTGAAAGAGACAGAGAGACAGAGAGAGAGAGAGAGAGCGCGAGCAGTAATGTGTCTAGAAAGAAATCATTTCCCAACAAATAGGGTGATCAGATTAAATACAGGACGGTCAGTTAAACTTGAATTTCAGATAAAGAGTACTTGATTCTTATAAGTATGTCCCTTGCAATATTTGGGACATACTTAAAAAGTACTCCTAGTTTTCTGAAAATCAAGTTTAACTGGTCATCCTGTATTTTTGGTTTTTTTTTTTGCTAAATCTGGCAATCTTACCAACAAATATTTTGTTGTTGTCAGTTCCAAAGCAGACAGAACTTCAGTGGGTCTGTAGGGCACAGTGGTGTTTTCTTATTTGTAGGGATAAAAAGGAAGTAGCTGGTAGGGTCGGCTTCCTTGCTATAAGTCTTAACTTGACTGCTCTTTGTACTCTGCCCATGCAGAACAGAGTTTCTTAGCTGAGTAACTTATCTTCAGGAAACTGACCCCTCAAGCGAGTGCAGATGGTGTAGCCTAAAGTATTGATCTTATACAAACACAGTGCATCTGGTTGCAAAAGCCAAACTGTGAGTAAGCGAGGAGCTCCTGGACCCCTTCTCCTCTGACGCGTCACAGAGTGCTTGATCCACAGCTGCTGTGTCAACAGAAATGGAGGAGTTGCTTATGAAATAAATCCTACTTCAAGAAAGTAAAGAATTTTCTGGCAAATTAAATCATATGTCATAGTTTTATGTATGTTTGCATTTTTAATATAAGCATTCCCTATCTTCCAGATAAAATGCACTTCAAAATTTCATTTGTAAATATTTCTGAATTCAAAATAAGCTTTCCATAGAAACAACATTATGAGTGGTAGTCAGATCTTCAGGTTACCTAGTAAGAATATATTAAATTGATTTTGTGACGAAAACACTGTATTTATAGTTAAAAAACGTTCTTTACAAAAGGTTTTAATAATAGTATTTTAAAGAGTAAGAAATAAAAACGTTTTTAAAATACTGAATGTTCAGGTTTGAGGACATAGCAGTGAGCCATGTTTATGTTGCTCTTGCTCTGTGCCAGAAACCATTGTAAGTGATGTAAAGGATTAGCCCGTTAAATCCGCATAATACCCTGGGAGGTAGATTCCATTGTGACCCCACTTTACAGATGAGGAAACTGGGGCAAAGGTTGAATAGCCACCCAAAGTCACGCTGCTGCCAGGTAGTGGAACCCCATGCGAGCCAGCACACAGTCCATGAACCACTGTGCACCCCAGCTACAGCAGTCTAGAGTAAAGAGGTAAGCAAATTGCTCTAGAAGATTCTGAATGGGACATCTGATCGCTGTCTGGGGGAGTGCACTGTATTGTTCGCTGAGCCCGGAACAATTCAGAGCAGATGGTGGTCTTTTCCTTAATTTAGCTGTATTGCGAATACTGCTTTTGTGCTTACCAACCAGAATGGACCTAATTTGGAGTTTATAAATGCAATGAAG